TGTGAAGATGGAGGCAGTGCACAAATAGGTCACTTCCACGAGAAGTCCCTTAGTCACTTGTGCCCAAGTTCTTTTGACCAGCCGTGGAAAGGAGGCAAAGGTAGCCTTTCTCCTGTCTCACTCCCTCTGCAGCTGGGGTGGGACATGGAAATCTGTAGTTGTTGATGCAGCTGAGTGCCTGTCTCCTCCTGCCTCTGCTGTCACTTTGTCCTTGAAGGTGTGTTCAAGAGGGCTGTGAACCCTTAGCCTTCCTCCTGCTGCTGCTTAATCTGTCCAAGACCTCAGGTTGTTTCCCTTCATTATTGAGGCCTCTCCTAGCAAAGGAGGGAATGATGCTGCCCTTCTTGCTGTAAATATCATGTCCTTGTTAGACCTTCACCTGGGTAAGAGTCACAAAGGCACAAGGTCTCTTCTGATTGCTTTTAACTACCACCTGCCAGAAATCTCTGTTATTTCATTTGCTGTCTCTCCATCAGTGTCCTGCTTCTCTTGCCTGCCAGTCTTGGCCTTTTTACTCCTGACTCTGTCAGGGCAGTGTCAGGCTGCTGGGTGACCCTTTCTGCCACCTCCAACAAGCCTTTCCAAATGTAAGGGCCTCTTGATGCTGCTGAGAGCCCTCCCCGGGGCAGTGTTTGGGATGCTCTGCACTGTAAGATGAGGGCACAATTCCTGCCTCTGTCCACAACTCATCCACCAGCTCATGTCTGTCCATCTGACATCTCTGTGAGCAGCAGCTTCTTGGAAACTGTGTGGGGCAGTTCCTGTACTCCCAATATGATGTTTACCATGTGGCTTTAGTTAACTGGCTTGGCTTCCTCTCAGCAAAGCAGGAGTGATGGTGCCTGTTTACCCTGTTGCATAAGGGTGACATGAAGCTGTAGTTAATATTCTCCTCATGCCATGTGAAGGCTGGGATCTCATCTGCCAGAACTGTCAGCCTCAGTGCTGAGCAATGTTTTCAAGGAAAAAAAAAGACCTGAAGCCCTCTGGAGCTGTTTCCTTGAAGTCCTCTAGACACAAGTGCTTTCACTGCATTTTAAAAGTGCACCTACTGCCGCAATGTCTGGCCAAGGCACATCAATAACAGAAAGGGAGCAATAAGCCCAGAAGGGATACTCTGCTCTCCACCCACTTTGGATTAGCCATGATGAAATTCACTCAGATGAGCAAAGTAAAGCTGTGATGAGATTTGTGAAAAGGACAGACCATATGCACGTAGTTTGGGAGTTAACTCCATACACACAACTGCCTTTTCTCTTCCAGAACCAGCCACTGTGTAAAAAATCTGGGGGGTTTTTTGTCACAATTACAAAGCTGTGTTTACTGCCTGCCTGCTTTGTGGCTTCAGGTTTGATCCTTTGGATCAGGATCAAACCTTCAGATTGCTCAGGAAAGGAAGTAGTTACAGCTCTGGGGGTGATGCAAGTGGAAGATACATTAAGGTTCCCTGACATGGCCTTGCCAAGACAGTTCAGTAGTAATCCAGAGCTTCCTGATCACAGTACCAGACTGTGATCCAGCTCTCCAGACAAAGGCTGTCTTCACCTGATACCCTTCTCGCTCTCTGCTCTGAAATGCAGCCCAGTGTGTCTGGCCCTCAAAAAATAATACACCCTCTGGGTCCCGCCCTGTTCTGGCAGCAGATGGTGACACCTTTCTTGAATTCAGCACGGCAGGAGGCCCCAAGAAGTCTGAAAACAAGAATTAATAACATCTAAAAGTTCTGCATCTGTCAAAATGCCACAGAAGTGGCACTGACAGCCTAAAAGATCTATGTATAAAGGAGCATGTCTTAATTCATTAGTCTTTACAAAGTAAACATCAATTTAATGTGGAAGTGAAGCTGGAGTTATACAACACTCTAGGATGTGTTCTGCTCGTTAAGTGGGAGTGATCTATACAACTGTAAAATGGTGCTAAAACTAAATTCCCTCTAGGATATAAAGGACTGAAAATTGTGCACTAGTTATGCTAGTCCCTGCTGCAGCAATCTCATCCTCCAGCTTTTGAGCTTTTCATTTTAAAACCCTCAGAGTAAATCTGCAAGAGCTCATCTTCCTGGTTTGGTTAGGCAGCCAACCCAAATGGGGCAGAGCCAGTGGGGTGCAGGCTGTTGGCTGAAACAGGATTTTGCAGGAATGGAGCCCCTTCCTTTCAGTGTGGCAAACTTGTCTGAGTATCACCTGGGCAGCTGAAATAGTTTCTTTGGGTGACTGCACAGCTGGGGATTGCAACCCTCCCTTCTACAAGAAATGTAGCCACTCCAGGGAACCCACAGGCAGATCCAAGAGGGCATGCTGCCTCCCAGCTTCACCTTCAGCAGTTTAGTCAAGCACAGAAACCAGACTGAGCCTGGGCTGGATGACTCCTGCTCCCTCCAGCTGCTGTTGCATTGAGTTCATGGACCTGCACTGAGCTTTCTCCTTCCATATTTCTGTATGGGCTCTGCCTGTGTACTGAAACAGCAGTGCTTGAAGAAATGGATCTTATCCTGTTTGCTTTACCAGCTCATGGGTGGCTCAGGTTTGTACCTTCTGGATGTGGGTCCCTCTGACTGGGGATGTAACTACTGTTAGTTTGTTTGTGACCCGCTGGTTTGGCAGTGGGGACAAACACCTGGTGTGTGATCCCACTCATGTACTGCAGGTCTTCTCCATCTCCCATAACACATCTCCATAACAGCCCAAATGTGATTAAAACCTGGCAGATGCTCCAAGCTCTCTGTATGGCTGGGCTTGCTAATTATCTCCTGGACCTATCTAACATGCTGCCAGAAAGTAGAAATTGCATTTCAGAGAACAAGGGAGTCCAGCATCAGCTCTGTGAAAGCCAGATGCTAAAGCCCAGGAGGCTGCAAAAACGAGAGGATAATTTGGTTTCTGAATGTGGTCTCCATGCAGAGATTCCTCCCTCCTGTCCTTAACCCCCACGAGATTTTAGAAATTCCTTCAGAGTCTTGCTGCTACACCCATGCTCTTTACAGGACCTCAGTAGCAGGAAGGGTGCAAGCCAAAGGCACAGGGTTTGAGACAGACACTATAGTAAAATACTCCCACTAGCAGACAGAGGGAAATGGAGAATTTGGATCATGTAAAACAGCCTGCCTAAACAAACTTTAGGCCTTGGTATCTCCAAATGAAGCAGCTATTTCTTGCCTTCCTGCTCCTGGCAACACCCATTTTCTTGCAGCAGCCTCAGATGCCAACTCTGCAGGCGTCTTGTGCTGCAAACTGCAAAACATTTCATCTTCACACTTAAAAGAGGAATCTCTGCTGTTAAATATTTAATCAAAATTAATTTGTGCTTTATGTAACACATCGTAACTGGGTGTGGTAGCCAGGCAGGGCAGCCCACTTTAGACCTATATTTCCTTCCATTGCACATTGCCTTGTTGCCCTCTCCCTGCTTGTGCTCACAGATGTTCTGTACCTGGCCAATACTTGGGGCCTCACCCCTCTATGTGGGGTGCTCACTGGACCCACAGCTCTTCCTCTGGCCACAAACATCCTCTCTGTTGTTACTAAGTGGTGGGCTTGCAGCAGTTTGCAGTCCTCTGCTGTCCCCAGGCTGTGCAATCCCACAGAACACTCCCAGTTTGACCTTCATCCTGAAATCCAACAGGAGAAGAGGTTTGCCTACAAGCAGGAGTTTGGAGTCCTGAACTTCTTATCTTTAAATTTATCTTGGGAAGGGACAGGGATGAGGTCAGAACTGCCATCTATAACCTGCATCTGCAGGATTCTGCAGGATCCTATGGGAAAATGTCACGGAATAGGTCTGGAAAAGGACTCACTCAGCTCTGAAACCTCAGCCTTGTTCTGTGCTGTGGCTGCTACCTGCAAAGCAGCACAAACAGTCCTGCCCTGCAGGGAGCATTGGGAGTGCTTGGCTTCAGTGGCAAAGTGGGGCTACAGATGCAAGAGGCAGATGGCCTGGAAACCATGGTATTAGGGATTTTATTCCTTAAGATGCATTGGGAACCTGCCTCTGAGTCAGAATTAGAGGTATGATGGAAATGTCAATTCCCATGGGGGATTTTAAGTTGCTGGCACACACATCAAAGACTGAAAGCATCAGAAAAGCCCAAGGCCCTTCTCAGAGTGCTGCTGATTTTGCATTTCTTTTTATCCAATCCTGCATTTATTCCTGTGAAGCTAATGGGGATGACATGAGCTCTTTTCTTAGTCACTTCTCTGTCTTTTCTTCAGCAGTGGTGATCTGTGTAACAGGAACAGGGTTTGCTCCAAGAAAATGACAACAGGAGGAGTGGATTTAAAAGACATGGGGATTGCTCTTTATCTGGGCAGAAAAACCAGCAAGTGTCAAGGAGGGAACAAGTGTGGGTGTCTGAATACACTTCTAGTAGTGAAAAGCAGCTGCCATCCAGTAGCTGTCAGTGACCAGCAGCTCTGAGTTGGGTTCTCTGTGCATCTGCCATCCCAGGGCCCTCTCCAGGTGCTGGCAGAGGAGTGGGAGGTAAGCAGGATTGGTCACCTCTCTGCCAGCCACCCCAGAGTGGTTCCTGCTGAATGGGGTGATCAGCTGGAGGTAGTGCCTTGTAATGGGACACTTCTCCCATTGTCAGGGAAACTCCAAACTAGGATGGGGTGTGATGCAGAGATGGGAACAGCTCTGTTTGGCACGTGGGTGTTTTTGCAGGCTGGTAGCCCTGGCCATGCTCCTGAGGCCAAACACCCTGCAAGCCCTGCAGGAGGCTTGTCTGTGCTGTGCCCTCAGGGGATTGATTTCAGTGAGCTTTGGAGAGGGTAAGGAACTGTAACAGCACACAGAGAAGAGAAAATGGCAAAACAGATCAAAGAGAGGAGCGTTGGGCTGGGTTTTGGAAGAGGCTGCACCACAGATACTGTGCACTATTTTCAGTCCTGCCACTCTCTGAGGAGGGTAGTGGTGGCAGGCTGGGATGGTGCTTGGCTGCAGCACCATTTGCCCAGGCAGAGCCCCCTCTGTGCCCATCCACACAGTCCCTGCCAGGCTCTTACCACACTTGGGACTTCCTGCGGGGCATCCCGTGCCGGTGCCATTTCGAGTGCGGGGTCAGGTGGTAAATCAGCTGCCTGCAGATCCTGTCTGAGGATTTCCAGGGGTCATATTCCTGAAAGCAAAGGGACAACTTAGACTGCCTGCACCATAGCAGAACATGAGAAAAGGAAAAGGGCAGAGGAAGATGGGAAAGGAATAAAGATGGCAGTGGAACAGGGTCATGTATGTAAGGGAGGCGATGAAGAGAGAATGAAAGAGGAAAGGCGAGAAGGCCTGAGGTGCTTCTGCCACGTGCCAACCCCTCCTGGGGTGGAGAAGGAGCAGGAGGAGTTTTGCACTGCCAGAAGAACCCCAGCCCAGCCTCATGTTCCTGCCCAGAGCAGGGCTACAGTTTCACAGCCTACCCAGGAGCAAGTGAAACTCAAGAGGGATTCATTTTCTAGGGCTGTGGCAGGGGTGACTGACAATGCTGTGTTGCAGAGACCCCTACACTGACAACTCCTTGTGTTACCGGACAGTGCTGAATTTCTATTAATTACCTTGTTGCCATGCTTCCCCAAAGTCTGTCTCAGGGCTATCTGATACCCTGATGTGGAAAGGTCAGTAACTGGCACCCCTGCCCCATGCCCAAGGTGCTTCTTGCTCCTCCTGCAGTAGCACACTGACTCCACGACCTCCTGTGCTCTACTGGGAGATGTCAGGACAGGAAACTTTGGCTACTTCCCCATAGTCCATCTGACTTCCTTGTAGTCCACTCTGCTACTGGAGGTTTGAGTTTGGGAGCTTCCAATGCCAGCAGTTCCCTGCTGCCCCTGTACTAACTCATCAGGAAAAGAAGGCACCCACATGCTGCCTTCCTGGGTTATTTTTGCACATGTTCTTTAGTGCCATGACTTGGAACAGAACCTCTTCCTCTGGTGAAGCACAATGGCAAATGGCAGCTGCTGAAAGCTGGGACTTCTGCCTTCTCTATTGTATTTTCCAGTTGCTGACAGACACCTGCATTCCCACCCCTCAGCCCTCCAGCCATGGTGCCACATGTGCATTAGGGATTTGATAGGTGAACACGCAGTAAAGCTGCCAGGGAATGCACTGATTTATTCCCTATTGCCAGTGGCTAAAGCACTGGGGGCCAACAGCTGCACTGTGACTTTGCTCAGCAGCCCCTGAATCAGCTGAACTCCCCAGGGATGCGCTGCCTGCCTGTGGCAGTTCTGTGCCAAGGGGAGAGGGATCCCAGCCTTCTGCTCAGCTGAGCATCCCCTGATCCCCATCCCAGCTTCCCTAGGAACCCCACGGGGACTGACCCATGCCTTTGGCTTAGGTGCCTTGTCCTAGACTCCTACTGTGCTGGCAGGGCTGCAGCTGGCACTCTGCTGTCACCTAGAGCAGCAAACCTCTCCAAGTGGGTGCACGTGCCCACCAGGCTCCAGTACAGCAGCTGGCACAAAGCTCTGCGAGCGATTGTTGGCTCACAGCTGAGAGTTACCCTCCTGTTCTTTCCTGTGTCCTCACTGATTTAATTTCCACTGACAGACTGGGAATTGCACTCAGCCTGCTTTCCTGTAATGCAGTTACACCCACCAGATGCTCAGCCAGGGTTGGAGAGGGGACATGGGCTAGCATTGTTCTGGGAAGGGTGCTGGTGCTGCAGCTACTGAATTTCTACAACCACATAATTAAACTTCTGTTGGCTTTGAAGGGCAATTCTGGTGCTCAGCATCTTCCTTAGGAATGGGGAAAATAATTTCTTATGTAATGGGACTTGTGTCACTGCATCCACAAGGCATGAAACTAGAGTGGGGGTATAAGCAGGTGTATGAAAAAGGCAACGTGTTATCTGCCAAACACATGGGTACTGGATTAGAGTAAGATCCCCTCCTGCTGCCTGCCCTGAGGGGCACTGCACAGCACAGGCTTGGAGATGGTCTGATAGAGCAGCTGGAGATGAGTTCAAGTGAAGTGTGGTTAAAGAGATACTACTGCTACAACCCACCCCTTCCTTCAGATGCTTACATGAATTACACAGACATTACACTTGGAAAGATTTAATTTTTTTTTTCAGGCTGCTCTGCAGCCCAATAATGAAGATTAAACTTTGGCTAAATGTAGTTTGTCTATTGAGACATGACTGGTTAATTGTTATCAGTGAGCCTCAGGAGATGGCAGAACAAGGTTAGAAATGCCACTAATCTACACCAGGCATTCACTGTAATCCCTGGGGCACTGCTGCTTGCTCTGAGCTGTGTGTATTTAATATCTCTCTTTGAATAAAGAAATTCACTCTATTCCTCTCCTTATAAAGCAAGCATGACACTTGCCAAGCCTAATGAGCAAATGGATACATTGCAAATCCAAGTGTTTGTGGTGGCAAAGAGTAACAGAAATAGACGCTGGTTGTTGCAGTGGGACTGGAACATCTGTGATGTTTGTCTGTTCTCAGCCCTGTCTTTCTGTCTCAGCTCTCCTCATCCTCTGAAGGAAAGTGCTGGAGCATGCAGGGATACCATGCACATAACACATTTACCTCCTGAAACCCCAGTGGCAATATATTCCTACAGCACCGTTCTTTACAAGGAACTCTGAGAGTTTATGGGGGGAAATAATGCTGGGTTGAGGTAGTTACCTATGGCAAAGGGCCCAGGAAGAGAGAGCTGGTTTTCCTGCAGAGATCTCTGCTTTCCTCTGCAGCCCCATGAGCTCTAGTTGCTTTGAACCCCTGTGATACCAGTGATGATGGCTCTCTGCTCTGTCACTAATTTACTGTGGGCACAAAAAGTAATTTCCTAATATCTGTGCATATAACCACCCCCTCCTTCAGCTACATTCATGTTCTGAGTTAGCTTTAACTGATTTCTACAGAAGTATGCCCCACAATCCATATGCAGCCACTCCCAGGGCACACACTGCCTGCCTCTGGAGGATTGATTGCAGCACCAGCTGCCCCAGCAGGGCTCTCTGCATCAGTGCTGTGCCACAAAGTATTCACTGAGCTCAGGGAGAATTCACCTTTTTGGGACATTGCAGATCTCTAGCAAGGCTCATCAGCAGGTCGTGGGAGATTGGATCCACCAAGTTGAGGAAAGTTGCATTTTTGTAGAGCACTTCATTGAGAAATGTTCCTTCCAGTCCTAGGTCCTACAACAAAAACAGACAGTCAGGCACACAGGCTTCCTCAGAGCTATATCCATGGGATGTTCTGAAATCAGAAAGTAAATCTGATGTGGTGCCAGCCAGATGCCCAGTACAGGAAATTACCCAGCAGAGGTGAAGCAGCCGTGTCTGACCCAGCATTACTGTGCTGGGGGTGCAGGCAGCCAGAGAATGAGATGCAGTGTTAATTTGAGCTAGTCAGCCTAGGGCTGACCACCTTATTTCCACCTACCACAGGAAGGTGAGAATTCTATCATTTCCAGGCTGGCTGGAGCCTGCAGGGAATTAACTTCAGAGAAACACAGTTTTTTCAGCCTCTATGTGTGAATCTGCTGAAGAAGCCAAGCAGGAAGGCTGGCTCTAAAGCTGCTTCTCCAATCTCAGCTTTTCTGGAAGAATCAGACCTTTCTCAGGTATTTAGACGTTGCCATATGCCCTGGTGGTGGCTGGCTGAGCTGAAGTCCTGCCCATCTGTATGAGTTTAGCTGTACTGTGAATTTCTCAGTGAGAACTAAGCACTGGCAGTATGGGGTGCAATGGTAAATTTAGAGGTGGCTTTACACCACAGTCAGAGGAACTCCTCTTCCATCTTCCACAGTGTGAATTAGGGGAACCTCTGTGGTCTGTGCAACTTATCTGTGTGGACCAGGGGATGGAGCACCTTCGGAGGAAACCTCAGCATCTTTGGGAACAAAAAGCCTCCCCAGGGCCAGATGGATGACACTGCAAAGAACTAAGCTGTTCCTTGCAAAGAGGAAAGCAAAGAGCTAATATACTGACACAGTTATTACAATCAGAAGGTACCACAGAGCTGTGAAAAACAAACTAAATTTAAAAAAAATGTGGGAAAGAGAGATCACATATCCACATGGAAGTGTCACAGGGGCAAAACAAAAATACCCTAGGAGTAGAAATGTAGAACAAAAAAACTCCCTAGTAAAGACAGTGCTGGGTTTGATTCAGTTGATAAAGAGGGCTCAGCTAAGGGAAGAAACAAGTCTTCTCCCCATTCTGTATGTGGCTGACAGGAGAAATGAATAAGCAAATGGGTGCCCCATATGTTCACACTGCTCTACTGAGTGTGTGTTTCAGGCACCACCCAGTGACTGAGAGCTAAAAAAAATAAATGGAGTGAGATGGGGAAAAAAGCTGGATGTATGCACATACATCACCAACAGGGAAAGAGCCATAGCTGGCAGAGGTTTGGGATCTTAACTCTAAGCATCAATCAAAGCCAGTGTTTCATCCTGTTCTGGATATGCTGGATTGAGCAGAAAGCACAATCCCAAAGACACACTGGCTAGAGACACAGAAAGGGAGAATAAATGAAATACTTTACAGCCCCATCACTCTGTGGACACAAATGACACCCGTAAGCAGGCAAGGAACCCAAGCAGTGGATCACTCCTGAAGGACAGACAGCCACAGCTGGATATGGGCCAGAGCCTACCAAGGCATCATGCCAGTGTCTCCCTTAACCATAAGGCTTCAGGGAAATGGAGCCTCCTACACCAAGTGTAATGTGCACAGATGAAGCAAGCTGCCGTGAGGATGGCATGGCTGGGCATGCAGCAGTGGATGTCAGAGCAGTAATTAAACTCCCCCAGTTGGAGCTATAGCATTAAGATGAATCTGCATTCCCATTATAAATCCTGCCTGTGAGGGTTTTGTAAGTAATATAGCTGTAAATATTCACTTCACATTGATATTCCATAAATTCTTAGCCCAAAGGCATTTTCCAGCTCTTCTTTCTTAGTTCCCTATCTCTCTCTCTCCCTCTCTCATTTCTTGGAAAATTTTGTACCTCCTAAAGGGTGGCTGCAGACAGCAGAATATTATAACTGTTGCCATTTCAGCTGGCTTACTGCTGTTGTCTTAAAAATGACACTTTGCCGTTGTCTCAGCACAGGGGAAACAGATTATACCAGACTTTTTGCTGGTGTAAGTCTAATGTCTCCCTGGGCTTCAGCTGAGCAACACCCACCCAGATCAGCAGGAAAACTGATCTGGTTTCTGCTGGTGGCCATTTCTGGGATAGATGATGTGCAATGGAGCTGTCCAAGTGTTCATGTATAAAGCACATGTTCACCTGTGGTTTGCAGCTGTTCTCCATGCAGTCTTCTAAAATGCTGGGATCTCACATCTCTCTTAGTGGATCTGCTTGTGCCTGGCTTGCTTGCTTTACATTATCACAGCCTCTAAACATCCTAGGAATAGTGTGCAGACTTTTGAAGTCTACAGACCACAGGTCAAAAACCACTGGCAGGAACACCAGCAGGGTACACCTGCAGGGCTGGGCACGGGGAGTGTGTGCTGGGAGCAGCAGGAGCCACACATGGGATCCCGTGTCCTCCGGTCTGGCTGAGCTGTCTGCTCACCTGAGGAGGCTGCAATTCCAGTCCCACCATTTCTCTGCCTTCCCTGGGGTGTTTGCACCCTGGCCCAAGGGACAGTGATGAGGTGTGGTGTTAAATATCCTTCCTGTCCACTAGAATAAACAAAGTATCTCTCTTTTTACAGGCTACAAAGAGACCCTCACCTGGGACACATTAATCCGTGACTCCCGAGAGCGCCATACTGCCAAGGTAAGGGGTGAACGCAGTTGTGGAGTGAGGAAGATTTGCAAGTTAGAAAAAAGGCTGATGTGAAGGTGACATTGGACATCTGAGGAGGACTGGTGGTGATTACATGACTGGGTGGCAGCTGGGGGTGTGGTACATGTTAGGGGTATAAACCCTCTGTCTCTGAAACCTCGGAGCACTCAATGAACCAGAGGCTTTGGGGTGTTGCTGCATGGGTTTCCATCTTGCTCGGCAGAAGATGTTGTGATTACAGGATGCATGTCCCACTGTCCTGTTGTGAGCAGATGGACAGACAGTCACTGTTTTAACATGGGGAGGCAGAGATGGGGACCAAGAATAACATGGGGGACTGGAAAGGCAGCAGGCAAAATGTGAATGTTCAGGACGTGGTAATTCTCAAGCACAGATGTGGGGAAGCCAAGTGTTCAACTGATCCTGAAAGGAGCTTAGAAATGACCCTCCATTCCATATGGCCCTGTGACTTAGCACTCAAACCCTGTCTGTTCACAGATGGACCTTCTGGAGACCTCCAGGGTCTGTGGAGGGTTTCAGTGCTTCAGTCTCCAGGAGAGGTGCTGAGCACTACAGAAAATGACATTCTGTAGCTCTGGCCTCTGGCATACCCTAGTAAAGTCTGTTCATGTCACACTGCCACATCCATGAAGTGAATGCTTGCCTGTCTTTCTTCACAAGCTTCTTGCAATAGTGCCTCTCCAAAACTGCCTTTGAAATCTTATTCAACCCTTGTCTGCCATTCTGGTGCACACACAGTTCTCTGCTCTAGCTGTCTACATGCATGGCAAGAAGAATGTGGTGCTGGGAACAATTTTCAAGTGGATGCTAAAGTAATGGACACGAAAAGCAGAGATGTAATTTCTGGCCCTGAGAATTCTTACTTGTGAGTGTGCAACTTCCTGATAGCCCAGGGCAGTGAGCACCACTGTCAGATGTGTTGTAAAACCTTGGAGATGCAGAGCAGGCAGGGCTGTTCATGCAGCTCCCTGCAGCTGGTGGTGTGGGTGAACAAGCATCCAAGCAAGCCAGTCCCTGCTCCACTGCACTCACACCCAAAGGTCACTTGGCTACTAAGGCAAGAAATAATGTATGTTCCCAAGATGAAGTGGATTGTTATCCAATGAAGCAACATAAGTTACAAACTGATGGTGTTTTATGTCCCTGCCAGAGGTGGGCTTTGTCCCCTGTGCTACCAGCTACAGAGCTGCCTGCAGTTTGGGGCAGCTGAGTTTGGCTGGAAAGTGATGGTAGCAGTGAGGGATGGAGGAGATGGCTCTGTTCCAGCAGCAGGGCTCTGTCCTCAGCATCAGTTTGGCACCACACTGTCTGCACACTGGCTTCTCTGTTCCTGAATGGCGGCAGACAGAAACATGCTCCCACTGATACACTGACCCCTTTACCTCTCCTCTCAGCCTCGATTGTCCCACAAGTCCCCTCCAAAACCATTTTGGGTTTCCCAGACATATCTCAGCCAGTCTGGCCGAGTGGCCATAACGGGATGTGATGGCAGTGGGGCGGCAGTGGCTTTTTTCTTGGGGGGGCATCAATCCCGAGCAGAGCCGCGGGCCGGCACGGAGGGCTGTGGAGGAGCAGAGCCCGAGCTCAGAGCCCCTTCTCCTGTGCGGTGCCCCTGGCAGCTCCCTCCCAGCCCCCGGCAGTCGGGCCAGG